CTCTCTCTCTCTCTCTCTCTCTCTCTCTCTCTCTCTCGGTTATTGCCCTTCCTAGATCACGTGTCTGCCGCGCGAGACACGATTCTTATTTACACTCCATTACCACGTTTCATTTTCGTCGTTCTACCTAACAAGCGCGCGAGCATCGTTGTGGACACAGGTTGATCTTGCTAATTAACGTTCAATAATGAGTACTTTGTTAACGTATTCCCAGTATTTCTCTTTATGCGCGAATGCTGCAAAATCTATTTCTTTCTTATAAACAAAATTCACTTGGGCGTTCAATATTTCCACTTCTTAATTTTTAATCAAATTAAACAATGTATTAATTAAATCTTAAATAAATATTTAAAAAATCACTTGATAGAGTAAAAAAACCTTTTACGTTTCAAAGCCATTTTACTATTATGACAAATAATGCAACATATATTTCTAGTTAACGATCAATCATACACATTATTAACTCAGTAGCAACGAGTTATTTCAAACCTGATGCAAAAATTTGAAACGGTTGTACTGCAATTTATTTATTAAAGACTGAAAAAATGCTGCCATTCTTTTCTAAAACCAGCAGAATTTTTATTCTTTAGAATGAGATTTTACTTTAAAAAATGTTCAAGTTCCATCAATCGCCATAGAGCGGTTTATTAGCATTTTGTTCAAACAGAATACTTTGGAACTTAAATGTAGTTTTCACATAGCCATAATATTTAGGATTAAGAAAAAAAGAGCGAGGATAAAATCGTGTGAGAAAAGATCATTGGCTACGTTCAGCAAAAAGAGCAGCTTTGCAACTGTTGTAAGAGTTTTTAATACATATGATTGGTGTCTTGCCCTTAGTTCCTCACTGGGGATCTAAATGTATAAACTAATCAAGTAATCATATTCAAGAATTTTACAGTTGCAAAGCTGCTTTTTCTGCTGAACGCAATCATTTCTTTTAACGTTCAGCGTTACGGTAGCGACGCGGACAAGTAAGCCTCCTAACTAGTATTGCGTATTAAAACGCAACATCGCAGCCGTGGCTGCGAAGATCGGCAGCGTTATTATGGTCGATATGCAGAGTTAACTGTTCATCGGAAACCTCGCGTTTCCGTTGAAAGGCGATTTAATATATCACGCCCGTTGATCGTTACGCGATAGGCGAGCTATCGGACGCACGTCGACCGTGACGGATTTACCGACCGTTCGTTTTTGCGTGAAGCAAGATTGCTCTTCGCGAACGACGAGATCGCGGCGTGTCGTCAAGAAAATAGCAACAATCGACCGCGAATGTAACAGCAACAGCGGTTGCACGTGCTCGAACGCGAGGCGCCGCGTCATGCAGAATTTCCGATCGTTGTCGTCGCCGTGATCGTCGTCGTCATCGCCGCCACGGTTTCCATGAGATTGAGAGGAGATCCACCACAGGAATGTCCCGTTCATTCACGTGCGTCTCTCTTTATCATTATCGAAAAGAACGCCTAGTCTATTCCGATAGATATAAAGAGGTGGCCCTCATAGATTCCTCTAGTTCGCATGTTTCGTCTCTGTAACTATATCGTTTCCTCGTACGAGACTATTATTTCGATCCCCAATATTTCTATGACTCATTATGTAGGGCCGCACGGCCTCTGTTTCAAATTCTCTTCGACTAGTTGTCGTTTAGAAAATCGATACTTCCGACTATTGATCCGTGTAGAAACATACACCGCTGAAGAAGAATTTAATCACATTTCGTAAAAAATTTTTGAAATTTTTCAACGATGTCTTCAGTTTAGATTTTGCCGAAAAAGTTACAATTGATCTCGCGAGAGTAGATTTTTCGTACAAAATATATTTTATTTTAATTATGTCACTTCTGAGATTGTGTAATTTGCGAGACTGCCCTCGTAATGTTTCGCGATTATCCCATGATCTTCCGGATATCGTGGATATCCAAGATCCCGTCTGTCCTTCAGATTGGAACGGAGGCTTCCTTGATATTTACTTTTGTATTCGGCGGTGTTTGACTCGGTATTCAAACATTGTCTTTTAATTGTGCGAAGTGTTCATGCACGTCTAACTACCTTCACTGACTACAAGTCGACACGCATACCTATTGTACGCCGCGCCGCGCCGCGCCGCCTTGAATTATTTAGAGTATTTAGACATTATACGGACCGGCTCTTTTCGGTTTGACTCTCGGTCCATTTTTACGCGACTTGGGGTGAGAGAAGAAATTATAATATTTCTGCGATTGTTCTTAATCTTCTGTTATTCATTTAATTGTGAAAATCAATAAACAACAATCAATTTACACGGTTTGATAATAAGTGGGGTCGATCGTTCCTTGCTAATTATATCTTAAAGAAACAACCGTTCTTGTATCGGTAAAATATATATTCAATAGAAAATTGATTATTATTTTGCAATCCCATGTTCACAGCAAAGGCAAAGATTTGTAAATATCTAAAGATTAAATAATGTATATACAATTTTTTCTATTTTTACATAAATTATTTAATTTTTCTTATTTTCCAAAATAAGTCAATCACGCATGATAAACGAATTCTTATCACCGGCAACACAAAGTGCAGAAAGATTCTCCATCATGCAACAGAGTTAATTTCTACATCCGTTCTTTCGTATCACTTGGGGATCGAGACATTCTCTTGGTGGTGCACATCATCACAGTTGATAAAATCCATGGCAATGATAAAGTCGACGACGACCACGACAGCCCCGTCACAGCCGCGTGCAGCCGAGAATCACTGATCTTGATCACTTGGATGTCATCGAAGGAGGCGCGACCAACCCGTTTAATCACTTATCCACCCTCAGCAACCGGCCGAGGAGAAAACCGGCACTAAAGTACTTTTCACGATCACTTACCTATCCAGCACGGTCGTCGACGGCGGACGACCCTGACGGCTCGATGCGGCGACGTGATCTCCTCTCGATGCACGGTCGATTTAATCAGTTATTTCGCACCGTGTCGGACGCGTATCTACCGCAGATTTACGGCAAATCTACGTGTTCGCTCCGAAACCGCGATACGACGACGATCGTCTTTCAAAGGGAACCCGGGCTCTCTTCTCTCGCACCCTCGATAAGCGCATGCGAGCGTAAGAGCTTACTCTCTCTCTCTCTTTCTCTCTCTCTCTCCCCCCTTTCTCTCTCTTTCTCTCTCTCTCTCTCTCTCTCTCTTCCTCTCTCTCCTCTCTTTAGCTGGTCCCTCAAAATCACCGCAACACCACACCGAACAGAAGTGAACTACTCGTGCGCCGCCGGTTCACGGTACCTTTCCACCGCCACCGCCACCGCCACCGCCGCCGCCGCCGCCACAGCGCAGCGCAGCGCACCACCGCCACCACCGCCGTGCGCGTCGTGCGGCCCCCTACCTTAAACTCGCCCCACGCCGCGCGAGCGGATTGGCGGGGGAGCAACGAGAGGAGATGTGTACCCGCAGGCTACACACTGGAGAGAGCATCCTCTCTTTTTCTTCTATTCTCGCTCCCTCTCGCGCACACTTCCTCTCCTACTCTATTTCGTTTCCTCTCTCACTCTCTTCCTCTCTCACATTACCTCCTGCTCGCGCCAGCCTCTCCCTCCCCTCCTCCCATACGCTTCTCATCTTTCTCTTTTTCATCCTCCCTCTTCCCCTTTTTCTCAGCGTTCGACCACCAACGGCATGTCCGCAGGACTAACGCGTGTAATGTCCTGAGTATCGGGCGCGGGATGGATAAGGATATATACCTTTTGTCCGGCGTTTTCTCTTCAGCGGCATCCTCGCTGTCCAACTCGCGAATGGATGCGCGCGGATTGTCCTGAACGTATTAGGTGTCATCGGCGAACGGACCGGAGAGGTGCAGGACGATGAAGAGCACCGGTCGGTCGCCGCGCCGCAAGAGCGGTGATGCGCAAGCGCGAGTGCGCATAAACGACGGATTGCGCCCGTCGCGGATACGCGCATTCGCGCTACGCGCGTCGATGCGAGTGTATCTGCTGTGCGGGCTCTCGCTTGGAACGCTCGTTTTCGCTCGAGCTTTTGGAAATTCAGATGGGACACCGATAGAGGGAAATGATCGGAAAGAAATAAAAAATGTCAAGTATCCTCAATTAACTTGGAAATTTATAAATTCATTTTTTTCTTTAGTAAATCTATACGAACACTTTGTATATATTCGTATTGATAACATTCATACAATTAAAGTTAAATTTAGATCGATAAGAACGAATCATGTAGAAGAGACAATCCTATTTTCGGTCAAAACGAATCTTGGTGCTTGATATGTAAATGTATTTGTAAATTTATATACGAATATCATCACAAGCATCAAGTGCCGTTTTCATTTTGATTGAAAATAGAAGTCTTAAAATTCTTTTTCTTATTTAATTACATTAATTTAATTTTTAATTTTTTTCTTTACTAATGTGATTCAATTACGTATTACCGAGAAGCAGAATATAAAGTTAAAGTCTATTTGAGAATTCGACGAAAAAATTGAACAATGACATCAGAAATTCAATCCGCTGACTCACTATCAATCCTTTACGATCGATGAACATGAAGGTAAATTCGCAGCTGGACCAAAAAACGTTTCTCCAATCGTTCGGAGAAAAAATCTTACGGTGAAATCTTCACCGAATCTCTACCTCCATTCATTCCCGTTGTGAGAGAAGACGTGCTTCTTTTTATCGATTTTTATATAGGATACCTCGTATGTGTTACAGCGAAGTAACGTTATTTCCCTGAATCGTTCCCCCGAGTCTCCTTTCCGTATGGTCATTAAATCGGCCGCATAAAGGTTGATAAAGTCCACAGAAACGCAGTCACGTTCTACGAAAGGATGATTTTAACGATGATCTCATCAAGAATGTAATTAGAAAGATCGTATATGTAAAGCAATTTGCTACACGCTCTTATCTAATTGCAAATCGATGGTCCATTTATCAGATTTATTGATTACAGAATTGAGATACACACTGTACACATAATTACTATGCAAAGTTATCCTAACGGCCAAGAATCATACGCGTTTTATTTTCTTTTTTTCAATAAACTTCGAAAAATTATTCTCCGATTTGAGATAACAGAGCCTACGATATATCTTGTATATAATTGATCCGATTATATCTTCCATCCTTGCAAGTTATTTACGTCATACTCTTCCTCAAAAACATACAAAAATTCTGACCGAACGATCGTTAATTGTCTGTGTTTGCCGATAAACCTGAACAATGTCCAGGAAGTTAACCGACACTCTGTCCCTCCTCTCAACCGCTATTCATATACGTATACGTTTGTACAGTGCATCGTCTATATTTACGACGGAGAGGAGTTCATCGGGTAGACGAGAGTAGCAGTAAAACACCGACCATGCAGCGGAGCCCTGCACGATGTACTCGTGAGAGATATCCGAGACGATGTATCCACCTCAGCTCACCTTGGTTCACCTTGGCTCATCGAACGCTAAGGGAGGGGAATTCGGTTCAGCGAACCGTGCGCACGACGAAACTGGTACTCGCTAACTATCGGGATCTTTCTCTTACAAGATCGGTGCCATTGACACTGACATAATAACTCACCGCGACCGTGTTTGTCGGAGTCACGATGTACGAATGAAATTGCCACCGATGGTGTAATGCCTCTTGCATAAGCGGAGAGAGAGAGAGAGAGAGAGAGAGAGGGCAGAGATCGAGCAGTGTACCACGGAAAAGAGAAAGTGACAGGAAGAAAGAGAGAGAGAGGGTGACGAGAGGGGAGAAAGTGAGATGAGAAAGAGAGAAAGACACTGTCGAGCACAGACAGTGAACTTGACCTGGATCTCGGTCAGGGAGAAAGAATGATCGTGGGCTTCTGTAGAAAGGAGAAAGGAGGCGGAGAAAGAGTGAGACCGAGAAAATTACTTTCGATTTCGAACTCTCGCGGAGATCGGTTACACTTTCTCCCTCATTCACCACCACTCGGTGAGATTGTTTCTCCCCCTGATCTATGAGATACACTTTTCGTGACCGCGGAAACGTCGGATAATCATTGCAGCGTCTTGTCTACGTGTCGTAATGACAGTTAGAATACACGGCCGATCTCGGAAATCACATATTATACACAATACAGATATAAAAAGAAACATCGTGTCTTCTGATTTTAAGAATGATTGGCGATTAATGAAAAAATTTTTTATCGTATTCTCGTTACTAGTCTTCTACGGTAATTTGTATAGATTATGACAATCTAAGTCATGATAATTAAAAAATTTCAATGATGTAACGTAGCAGAAAGCGTCTGTCGATGGTTTAGAATTATTCGGATGCAGATATCGCGATTGTTGTGCGCTTGACATGAAAGTACTTTCAGACGGGGATCGTAAAATTCGCGTTCAATCGAGTCGTGTAACACGTAAACGATGAAATCAACTTGTCGCGAACATTACATTGATGACGAGCATCACTTCTACTGCCATCGAAATTACAACAAGACAAATCACACTCATAGGAATTATCTAATAAGATCGAAAAGGATGCCGCTCTTGTCATCGCGCCGCTAATCACATTTGGACACAATACGTAAGCTACACTTAACATGATGTTGAAAATTCAAAGTGATGCAATATACAGTGGTATTCAACGGTACATGGTGACCAAATGTATTCGGTTAAAATATATGTTCTTGGAACGTAGTAGTCTTACAACATTTGTATATGTAAATTACTTTCATAGCACTGCGTTTCAACACAAATAAACGAAGAAAGTCAAATGTCAAAGTGGATTTCGATGCCTAGTATTTTTATGTAAATTTTACAATTTTATGTTTAAATTTTACAATTTCACTTTAAACAAATCTCTCGCTGATTATTTGTCGATCTTAACTGGAATACATAAACAGGAAATTGTAAAATTTATACCAAAATATTATTAGATACTAAAACAATTGATTAAACATAACCTGTTTCGTTTATTTATGTTAAACATTTCTCGGTCGGTTTTACTAACTATTAATTATTGAATTTTAATATATCATAATAAACTTTGAATGTATTAAACTTTTCGATTCTTTCCAAATATCTAGTTCTAAAGAAAAAAAAAGTAATCCTTTTTTGGAGCAAAGATATTTCTACGTTACGTGAAGTGCAATGAAGAGTGAAATATATTAAAGATTCTCGACAAAAATAAGTAACTTTTCTTCTTGATTTTGTTATGCATCTTATCTCAGTCGCTCCATGTTCTACGGAGAAACCAGTCGCTCGCCGAGACGTATCTCCCGATATTACTTGGAGCGGGCAACAAGTCGACGAACGGCCTTGCGACATTTGCCGTGCGGCGAACTTGGCGACTCCGGTCGTCGGACGTTACGTATCGACGACGCCACGATTCACCGGGGAGATGTCGGCGCGATCCCGTTCCCGATGAGATTACAGAGCGACTCTCACGGACGGATAGGTCAGATATTACAAGCGCGTATAGTGAGCGCGAGTCCTCGACTTGTCCCGGCCGTGCGGCATTCTCTTTCTTCGCCTTGTCCTGACCAAGGTTCCAAAGGAGTCTCTTCCTGGCAAGAAGCACCGTTGTTGTCGACACGGCAAATCTGCGTTGCTATCTGCGATTTAACTGCAACGCCCGTCTCGTAAATAAACGCGCGGCCAGTACCGCACATCGTCGCTCCGGTAAATGGAGATATTATGCGGACCTCCCGGTCGCGACTGAATACTAGAGCGGGAAAAAGGAATCGGTGGATCAATGGAACGATGGGAAAAACGGAACGATCGACCGCGGTTTTCCAGTAAAGTTTGCCGCTGTCGCGTGTAAACCTGGCGAAATATTTACCGGACTCTTCACGGGAGTGTACGTGTGCAGGCGGAAGCGCTAATATCGACATGCACGATGGGGGTGTCTTCGGCTCCGCGAACAGTATCCCCCGATTGACCGTAAACATCAGAATTTATGTATAAGCATACAGTAAAATTCTTTTCACGCGCTGCAACGGATACGTTTGAGTGAGAGCTTCACTCCCAAGCTAGACTCCGATACCGTTTTGAGATTCACCCCATTTGAAGCGTATAAGAAATCATATAATATCACAATATAATATATAATATAAATAAATATATAATATAATATAATATAAATTAATATAATACAAGAAATATATAAGGGGATGCTGAAGTGGCCATATTAACGTTCTATCAACGACTATTTTAGCGTTTTATAATTATTTTTAGGTCCTCTAAATTTTTAGATACTTTAGCGAAACCGTTTCTTTTAT